GACGTAAACTGCGACTGAGACAGCAAATGAAATGGAGGATGAGACACTGATGAAGAAAACAACTGCGGAACCAACTGCGATGGCGACTGCGACATAGACAATGACGCTGATGGTGACGGCGAACGCAATGGCAACAATGATAACCATAGTGTGGGCGATGGAGTGGGTTGTGGCCGTATAGATTCAGATGGTAAAGATTTGTCCGCAGCTGTGGGTGAGGACACTGGTGGTTTAGCTGACACTGGTGCAATTAACGCCAAAGATAAAAAAAACTTTACTAACGAAATGCTCTCATCAACAACTTTTTTTCCATACTGTTTTCTATATTACATTTAAAATTCAATTTATATTCATTGGAATAATTAAGTTCAATTTTATCTCTAAAACTGTCTTCATGCATCTTACATATGACTCTTTAACTCGGATAAGGCGGCAAATAATTGAATTGCTTTCTCTGTCTACTTTATCAGTGGATAAATAATATCATAATATTAGGTTTATCCTGTACTCTGAATATTTCGCATTGCATTGAAATCAGCACCTATAACTTCCTGGTTCTAATGATCAGATTTTAACTAAGGAAAATGTAAAGATAGGTTGAGCAAGGAAACTAAAATAGCTGATGATTGAAAGTTTTCACAACTGCTGTTACTCATAAAATCACAGAAGTTATAATTTTCTCGATTGTTGTTGGTTTTAAAAAGCTCCTATCTTCTACAAATTCGAAGTTGCTATGTTACATGCCAAGTTGTTGTCGGACAGTTCGATGAGACAATCACTTTCAAAGTTGTTGTTTAACTCGACTAGTTACAATCAAAGTTGTTCTTCGAATTATCCTGAATGTCAGAACCTCTATAAGTTCCACTATGATAGCAGTGGTAAGTGTACCGAACGTGAACACATAGATAACATTCGCATTACTCTTGAGCTCTTGGCGTGCCTTTTACTTAGTTCAGTTTTAAAAATAAAGAGTAATTTTTTCTTACCTTTTGGAATTTCGCAAATATAAGCCAAGTTCCTAGAGCCATGGATGTTATAAAATAGGCCCTGGTCGCCATTAACAGACTGCTTGCATATGTGAGCCACAGCTCCCCTACTTTGTCGCTCTTCTGCCCATTTAGACATGTTCAGCAGTTTTCTATTCACCCAAGTCCAGTTTTCGCCTTTTTTTTTTA